CACTCTATGCCCCATGATGAAGTTTCCATGAATGGAAACAGCTTTATGCCCTCACATTGTATTTACTATGTGACTGGTTAACTAGGTGGCAACAGATGGCTATATCTAACTTTCTCCAAGCAAGTGCTTTTGAAAAATAGTTAAGCTATTTATTTTAATTTTTTTTCCAGAGGAGGTGTTATTTCATTAGAGGTGTTTTGAGGGTCCATTTAGGAGAGGGTCACACATGTTAGGGACCTGCTCATTTGTAATGTTGAACAAAATGTGAAGCAGCATATGCCCCTGAGTAATTGATTAATGTGTCAAGGAGATGGATGATTAGTTTTGTCTTGGAAATAGGAGACCATGATGGCACTGGAAACTGTCCTTGCTCATCCTTTTGCTGGACTAGTGAGGTCAGCAAAACCTCTGCCTAACACTCTGAAAAATCACTGGAAATTCACAGGTCATTCATTTGCACACATGCTCTAAAAATGACCCAGAAACTGTCTGGGGACATCATCTTTTACTAACAGTAATGTACTGCTCAATAACAGGAACATATCTTAAGAAATGTATTGGTAGGTGATCCTGTTACGTGTGTGCTTACAGAAACCTGATGGTATAGCCTATCATATAGCAATGCTCAATGGTACAGACCAAGGACCCGAGGGTCACAAAGAATAAACCATGAGATTAAACCATGTAAGGGAAAAAGCTGCAACCAAAGATACAATAAACTTGAGATTCAGGAGGCTTATACCTGCGAAACAGCAGACTGACAGGAAATTTTTTGTAAATGCAATAAGCACCCTCCAAAATAATGATTAAAAGCATAGTAAATGTATAAACCAGTGACACAGATATCATCACCACCACCACCACCACCATCATCATCATCATCATCATCATCATCAAATGTTATGTTCTGTCCACAGATGTTTGTGTTGCACTTGGATAGACTGACAGCATAGTGGGTGTGTTAAGTATCGCCTGGCATATGAGTTGAATGTTACATTATGATGTTATGATGGTTATTGTGCCACATGGAAAAAAAATTTAGCTCCGTTACATTCTTACAGGAACACCACCAAATATAAGGTCTGTTGTTAAACAAAATGTCATGTGGCACTTGATTTTAATTCTAAAAGTGGCTTTTTCTTTTGGTATTTAAACTGAATCTGATACAAAGGCATGTTCTTCTTTTTCATAGCCTCCAGTAAAAATGCATGGATGTTCAATTAGACAACTGTTGGTTATCCCCAAAGATATATGAATGCCATTATTGTACTACTACTGAGGATCTCTCCAGGTTGTTCACTGTTCTAGTTCATAGGGGTGGGACTATTGACTGCTTTCCTTCTGCAGAAGGTTACATAGTTCCAACCCTGATAAGTTATCTAATCCTAAGTGGTCAGCTCTAAACACGTGTGAATGTGAGTAACATCAAATGGACTAAGTGGGTTGTGTGTATATGTACATGTGTATGTATGTATGTATATATATATATTATATAACACAATAATAGTTAAAGAAGCCATAAATTTGAAAGAGGGTGAGGGGAATGGGAGGATTTACAAGAAGAGGGAGGGTAGAAATGATACAATACAGTACTCATGTATAAAATTCTCAAAAAGTAAAAAAAATTGATATGAACAGTCTATGTCTCTGAGCATAATGTTGCCTTTACACCTCTCACAGATTCATAAGGGCTCAAAAAGTGATTGATTTGAATATACTCTTATTGGTTTGACTCTATTTACTATGAAGCCCAGGGAAGTATAGTACCTGTTTCTAGGTCTCAAAGAGTCTAACACAGAGTTGAAAAGATAAATTCTGAGAGTACTTTCTGAACTACAGGGTTATATAGGTAATCATCACAAATGCTAAGCACACATGAACATCATATACAAAGAAATATCATGCACACACAAATGAACATATATGTAAAAGTAAACCTTAGAATACCTCCTTTGAAAAACATTCTCAGCTCAAACCAACAGCATCTCCATGTATTTAAAGTGTATTAACTTGTTCAGTGTCCCACTGAACAGCCTTCTCTGATTACTGTGACTTCTCTTTGCCTTTCACTTCAATCCAGACTATTTAAATTCAACATAACCTTGGCACAAATTCTTGGAGACAATTGTTTTGTATGTGGTTACAATGTATTTCTCAGCAGGGCATTTGATTACCGTATCAACTAAGTAATCAGCACAAAGTACACAAGAAGTATGTGCTAGCCTAGGAATGGGCAGGGAGAAGGACACAGGGATGGACTCAGGAAACAAGCAGGGATTTCTATTTCTGATTCAGGATGGGATATTTTTGTTGAAGCTTGGTATTTTTAAGCATTATATGAGAAACAGATATTCTGGCAAAGTGAAATGTCCATGTGGTTTTAAAGGATTTTTTTTTTTTTTTTGAAAATGCCAAGTTGATGCCTGGAGCAAATATTCTCAGCTCAGATATTATGAGATCTGTGAAATGTAAGGGTTTATATTAGAACCAAGATGGTACTTTAGCTGACAGCCTTCTGCTTCTATCATCATGCCTCTCCAGGCTAGTTTGAAATGCAGCATTCTAAAAAAATCCTATTTAAAACAAAGGAACCAAATAAGTAAAAACAGTACCTTCTATTCCTTTAGGAAAAGTTGTAGAAAAACACACTAGTGAATCAGGTGAGGTGACCTGGTACAAGCAATAGCAACTGCATGTTAAGACTATGCAGAACATGAACATCTACTGTAGCACCAACCAAATATGAAGTTTCAGTTGTTGATCGACAATTAATAAAAAAGGTGTGAAATGCAAGTTAGTTGAAATAACAATAACTGGACTTTTTATATGGAGACGGAAAGTTACTTCCTTATTTTTGTGGTTCTGAGAATGGAACCCACCCCCTAACCCTAAACAGATACCAATAAGTAGGCATATGCTTAAAGTTCAGACAAATGCAAACAGCAACCACTGCCCACAAATGACTATGTCCAGACTTGCAGAAAAAGACAGGCTTATGTGATACCTTTAGCAAGTTCACCAGAATTGTCATAGCTCTTTTCCTTATTTTAAAGATGCTATTACTATCATATCATTGTTGAAATTTTACACACAGGTCTGACTATCTGACTGGTTTTGTTATAAGTTTAAATTTAATAGGGAGAGGAGACATTCCAGGACCTCTGTACTCATGAGCTCGCAGCAATTGTGGTTGCCTGCACTGGATCTGCACAAGATCAAGCCAGTCAGCATTCTCAAATGGAGTGAAAAGGGTTCATGAGCCTAACTGAGGAGCTATGGAGAACTGATGACTTCTGGGAGAAAGAGTCAATTTATTTTAAGGGTGTGGCTCCTGATGGACTGACCATGCTCCTATGGATGGCCCACACATAGAAGTATATGAATAGCACAAATTGGGAATATGGGATATTAAATTTTTTTTTTTTTTTGGTTTTTCGAGACAGGGTTTCTCTGTGTAGCTTTGCGCCTTTCCTGGTACTCGCTTTGGAGACCAGGCTGGCCTCGAACTCACAGAGATCCGCCTGGCTCTGCCTCCCGAGTGCTGGGATTAAAGGCGTGCGCCACCACCGCCCGGCAGGATATTAAATTTTTTAAAAAGAGAGACAACACAAATTTGGGGCTGATCTGGGTTAAGTTAAAGAAGAGAATCAGGGTGAATATGATCAAAGTAACATTATATGAAATTCTTAATGAATTAATAAAAATATATTTAAAAACCCAAAACTACTCAAATCTGTGATTGATACACATGCTGTAAATATAACAAAAGCCACAGAACTGAACAATGTAAGTGGGTGAATTTTATGCTTATTGTTTATATCTTTATCAAGCTATTCAAACTATATTTTTGCTGGCACTCATTTTAAGAGAATTTAGAGTCCAGAATCAATTATTAAGATGAGGTGACAGAACCACTGGTAGCCTTAGACATAAAGAATGATCAACCAATAGTTATGAGGTAGCCCAGACCCAGAGAGGCAAACTTTGCATATTTTCTCTCATTTATAGGTGTTAGCTTAGAATCTTCAGATATGTGTGTTTGGTTTGCAAATAGTCATAGAAGTCAGGAAGTTAGTAAGGAGCTGTAACAGCTTGCTGTCAAGGGAAGGGATAGAGAATAAAGTGGTACAATAGGTTAAGGGGGAATAACAGAACAGGAAGGGTTAAATTAGGGTGAGTGTGGGAGAGCATGGTGGGGGAGGGAACTGAGGGAGGGATAACAGCCACAAAAGACCTTTTGAAAAGTCCTATGGAAGTCTACTACTGTGGAAGCTTTTACATATATATGTAAAATATATATAAATCCTCATCAGAGACCCACAACTGAACTAGATGCTAAACACGTTTCTATTTGCAGTAGATAGTGATTAACACAGCTACCCACAGCTAAACAAGACACTGAGAATAGGAGAATGCAGAATGCTCAGCCCTAAATAAGATATTTATATATAAAAATCCCTCCGTTAAGGCTCAGGAACTATTCTTGGAGAGGGCGAGGGTTGGATCAGGGAGGGGTTGGAGGACAGACGGAGAATATCAAAACACATTGTACCAACTTCCAAGAATAAAAAATTTAGCAACCACAGGGAGGTTCAGGAATAAGAGAAGTTTAGCATATTTGTTTTCTAGTTAACTACTTACTCATTAGATGCCTACTGTAATCTGAGGTAAGAAATCATTCGAATACCAGTTTATCGCACTGTGGCATGTTCACTCAATGAAATGAAATTGAAAGAAGAGCCATTTGCTATGATCTGTAATCATTTTGAATACTTTTCTATGTTTAAACAACACATCCTAGAGTAGTCAGAAGGTTTAAATTGCAGAAAATAATGTTTTGCTTTTGATGTTTTACCAAGCATAAAAAGCAATGGACTTTTCAACTTAAGAAGATGGTGAGGGTGATATTGTTTTAATTAGTAAGTTGTTGCCTGGAATGAGATGATCTCATGCTGAACCCCAATTAGTCGATATTAGTAGTCGAGAATGATGAAACTCACCTCCAAATACCATTGACTCCATAAAAATGTCAAAAATCCTGCAGAAAGAGAACATATGGTGCAACCACTGTGGTGGGAAAATGTTACTTAACAGATGAATGAAGGAGAAAGGCCACTGTGCAGAGCAGAGACACAGAATCTCTCCTTATACTTGAAAATAAGCCTGGATAGATGAGGAGCTCAAGGGAAAGAGAATACCTGTCCACCAATGCCTAATGTTTTAAGATATTTCATTATTGCTAGCTAATGCTACACGATCTGCTTTCCCCTCATGGAATCTGTCTAGCCAACACACTCGTAAATGCAGTAAGCTGTTTGGAATTGGAGTATCTATAATTAATGTTGTTTGAATAATTCTGTGGCAAAATCAACATGTAAACCTTGCACATCCTGAGTTAGGATATGGAATGTACCCAGTAGAGTAGAGAACAGGACCTCTCATTTAGGGAGAAGTCTGGTTAATCAAACCTGTATGTAGCTGAAGCCTCAAGCATGGCTCACCTCTCACTTCTGTCCCAGCACAGCTACACTGTGGGCTCTTGTCTTTCATTCACAGCCAATGTCTTCAGGCAACAAATCTTTACTCTCGCTGTCTTCCTTCTCCTCTGCAGCTAAGCCTCTGCCACTTGACAGAGAGAACCCTTAAAAAAAGCACTGACTGTTTTCTCTCTGCCAAATAAAGGGAAGATGCTTTAGTCCTGCTTGGGCTGACTGGTGCTTTTGAACCTGCTGGCCTTTCAACTCCTCTAGAAAACACCTTCTCCCCTCGCTCTCCTCTCCCATGCTGCCTCTTTATTCTTCCTTAGTGTTATGGTGGTGCCTCTTCTCCACGGGCTTTTGAAAGGATGCTCCTTGACTGGGAACATGGCTCAGTGACAGAGTGATGGCCTAGTATGCACAAGGCCCTGGGTTCCATCCCCAGTGCTACAATAAAACACAATAATAAAACCTTAAAGGTCCTTTCTGTGTCCTCTGCTAATTCTCCATCCACAGGTTCCCAGCCTCATGCTTCCCAACTTTTTGTTATGGCATGGAAAATATAGATCAGCATGGTATTTTAAGGCATGGCAGGGGAAGATGATTGGCCTGATCATACCTAGTATGTGTGTGTGCTTGGGGGCGGGGGGACTGCATTAATTAACTACAGTGAATTCTTTTGAATCATCCTGGGTTAATCAACCCATGACTTCTAGCAAAATTCAATACACTAGCAAAAAATTTTGACCATAAGACTTTGTTTGCCCTTCTATGACCTCAGTAAATTCTCCATTGCTCCTCACCTGTGTATTCACTACTTGCTGGATCCTTCAGTAGGATGTCACCGCAAATCTACCATCTGGCAGTGAGCTCACACATCCACCCAGTGAATAGCTAACTCTTTCCCAGTTCATTAAAGGAGAACCCTCCATCTACCCAACTGGCCAAGACAGAGGCTTAAAGATGACCCATTCTTCCCACTCAACCTTCAGAGTTGAATGATTATGAGGTCCTTATATTTTCCTGCTTTCTAAAACGCCTTGACTCTACATCATTCAACAACTCTGCTGTTTCTTTCCCCCTTGCATCTTGCCAAATGTCAACAAACTATCTTCCCAGAGAAGCAACGGTCCACCATCCTGTGATCAGGAGCTTTTGGGACCCATCCTCAAATTGTCCGCTTTCCTTTTCAGCCTCATCTGAATTTTTGTATTCATATAACATGCTTCATCCTTACTGGGTGTCTTTTTCTTTGCACCATATGCATGGAGACTGCCTTCATAGACATACTCTTTCCTCTGCTTTACTGGGGACATCCCTTACTCCTGAAGTCTTGCCTTCACTGAGAAGCCACAACCAAATCCATGCTCCTGCTGAGTAATGATTCTGTGTCGTCTGTCATCCCATGGGTCTGGAGACTGATGCTCTGATGATCCATACCTTCCATCTCCCAGCTGCTCCCCTTTACCTCTGTGGCCCTCCACCTAGAGCTAACTGATTCCATGGGCCTTTGATACTTTGCAGGTCATCTGTGAATAATTTGAAAGACATGCATCTAAAGCCTTGTGAACTAGGAGAATGTAAACAAAATGTATTTGTGCTGTTTTCTCTGATTAAAAATTTGTATCAGCTCATGAAACATTTTTGCCATGTCCCTGCACACATGGTTTCATTCCTACTCATTCTTTGAGAAGCAGTCCAACTGTCTTCCTTTCTAAAGGGTTGTGTTACTAGACATGCCTTCATTTTCTGTGCCCAATGAGGCTTTATGTGAGCTTTGACTATGTCTCCATCTGTTTATAATCCCACCCAACCACAGCCAGCCTCCTAAGAACAAGGGGACGTATCTATCTAGATATAGAGATGCTAAATGATGTACTGTAAAATATATTTATTAATGCCTGGAGCTCTGGTCCCATTATTACCTCTTTTGGGTAATTTTTAAACAGTTTCAGAGTCACCACAATAGAAGGGCACAGTAAGGTAGCTTTCCAACGAAAGGGCAAGAAGACCTGGAGTTTTCCCCTGACTCATACCCTGCCTCCCACATTTAGTGACATTTCAGATTGCATAACCACCCCCAAGCAATTAGAACCATAAGTGACTAAACACCATGACTCTGTCACATCTTTGACCTGCCTACTGAGTTAAATACTTTACCCTATAAGTTGAGTTGCCTGGGGGAGCTCTGGACCTGCCTAGTCACAGCCTGAGCTGTGGTGAAGGACAAATTGTTTCAGCCAAGGCTCGACCTAGGGGGCTAAAGAGGTTTTTCTCAGAGCCTGTAAGCAGATCTGCTTAGAAGGGAGGGCTAAGGCGAAAACAGCGACTCATGGAGAGATCTTGCTGCTGAGCCAGCTGGCTCTGCTCACCCGAATCTGTCTGCAGCTCTTCTCTCAGCAGGTGCACAGTATCTGCAGCTTATGAGTATCCTGGGCCCACTGGGCTGCTGCCCCTTCTAATCACACCAGCAACCATTTCCAGAGTGCTGTGTATCTCAGACCATCCCAAGATCGTTAAGCAGATTGCCTGCTTTGAGCCTTGTAACAAATACTGGCATGATTACTCCCCCAATGGAAAGTAAGCCACAGAGGGCTTCATCAGCTAACCATAGGTCCCGTGTTAGTGTAGGCTGCAGGCAGCCTTGAATCCATAGCTCGTGGTCTAGATGAGACCCCCCACCCTAACCAAGACTGGGACTCTTTCATTTTTCAAAACATAAAGAGAAAATAAAAATAAATCCCTCCATCATCCTAACACATTACCTTAATTCAATAAAAGCTATCTTGATCACAGTGGACACTTTCCAAGGTCTGTTCTCCCATGGAACTTTGATGGTGGTAACTGTTCTTCCCTGGATCTCTTCCCTGAAAACGGCTTCCCGGTATTCTAGCTTATAGCAAGCAACAAAGAGAGAGACAGCACTATAGGCCTAACCACAACAAAACTGACCCAAATCTAGCGATTCCAGTTCCCAAATGACATCAGCTGCCAGGCCTCCTTTTGCTGTCTCCCTGGTGTTGGAAAGCAAACCCAAAGCCCCATGCATGCAAGGCAAACCCTCAGTCAACCTTTCTGTGGCACAGGATCTCATTGTCTGTATCAAAGAACAATACCAAACCGGCTGTGGGATAGCATTTAGAGCCAAGGTGGCTGAAGTTTTCTGTTTCGTTTATTAATTCAGCTAGATTAGGTTTAAGTAATACAAGCAGGTTCTGATGACACCTGTTAGTCTTGTCTTGCTATTTTTCATGAATTTTTCATCCTTACACCATTTTCTTCATGCACAATCTCTCATTCTCAATCCATTGATGTTCTTTTCCCCATATACCTGAATGCCTGGGAATGATCAGATTTCCTTCCTTCCTCCCTCCCTCCCTCCCTCTCTCTCTCCTTTTCTTTCTTTCTTTTCTTTTCTTTCTTTCTTTCTTTCTTTCTTTCTTTCTTTCTTTCTTTCTTTCTTTCTTTCTTTCTTTCTTTCTTTCTTTCTTTCTTTCTTTCTTTCTTTCTTTCTTTCTCTCTTCCTGAGACAGGTTTTCTCTGCATAGCTCTGACTATCCTAGAACTCACTCTGTAGACCAAGCTGGCCTTGAACTCAGAGATCCACCTGCCTCTACCTCCCAAGTGCTGTGATTAAAGGTGTGCACCACCACCACATACCTATACGAGGAAAATTTTAACACAGGCAAGAAAATCAAACACTGCTGTCTGTGACAGCACACAGAGCCCATGCACATAACTAACAATCCCAAGTCTGATGGTCAGCATTCACACATGTAATTCTTTATGTTTTTCACTAAATCATGCTTTGGGAATAAGAAAAGGACACAAAGGAGGTTCTAATCTGTGCAAATACAGCGCTTAACTGAGGTCTCTGTTTCATCTGCAGCTGCATTTACTACAAGTTAGCAGCTATTCACAAACCAAGAAAATAAGTCAAACATTTTGCTGCATTGCTTAAAAACTCATAAACCCTTTAGAAATTGAAACATAATTTACAGAGAATCCTTTATGGAAGCCTACTGTGATGACTTTTCAGAAATTCTAATGCAACTGCATGGAGGAAAGACGAGCTGGATGAATTCAAAGAGCTCTTGACTTCTCATTTAAGATGGAACTTTCCAGCTTGCAAGGCTGGTACGGAAACATGGTAAATGACTGAACAAGTACTCAATTGAAAGCATATTCCAAACAGAGTTAATGTATTACCATGGCATTGGCCAGTGAATGTGGCAATGTTTCATAACACACTGGAATGTTGATCACCTTAAGCTTACTACTGAACAGAATGCAAAAGCAATCCACATCTCTCTTGGTAACTATCCAAAATACAGTGTGCGATTATAAAATAGTTTCTACAAAAACAGCTCCAAACTGCCCATGGCACACACATAATATCCGTTTTAAAGGTGGAAAACATATTTTCATTGGATTTGCTTACAAATCGTCATCCTAGCCACACTGACTTTCCATTTAAAATAATAGAAAAACGATAATAAAATTACCTGTCAGCATGCTTTTAGTTCATTCAAAGTAAATAAGTCTTGGAAGGGCAAGTTGCCAAATTAAATTAGCCCACCAAAACTGGATCCTTCAATATTTTTAGCAACACAAGAAAACAAGCGATAACATCTAGACCACATGCAGGGGTAGTTAAACAGTACCTACAGTGTGTCTATCGAATGTCACTGTCAACTCTACAAACTGTAGGGTGCTGAACTAAGAAATGTTTAACATCCAGCCTCTAACTTACAGACTGTGTGCTGATTAACATACTATGCTCTGTTCAAGACCAAGTTCAAGTCACCACTATGTTGACATTGATCATGGTGTTGGGATAAGATGTGCATGGGCAGTTTGTGGGAACTTACCTGAGACTGACCCATCACAGTGCTGGAAACTGAGGTGCATTAAAGTGTGGAATCTATGAAATCCCCTGTCATTGTCTTTTTTCTTCTGTAGGGACCAGAAAGCTCAAAAAGTTCCAAATTTCTCACTTACAAGATGTGTTGATTGAATTAATCTATATGATTTCTTTCAGTTCAATTCTTTCAATATTTAAATGATTTTCTTACTCAATATGAGGGGAGCCTGCATCTGACAGCAGAATCAACCAAAACTTCCTCTTGGTTTGTGGTTATCCCAAGTATGTTGAAGACCAAGGACAGTCTCAAACATAGAGCGTGATTCAGATTTCAGTGTGGCTTATTTTTATAAACTTAAGTATGTCTTTCAAAAACATATCAAATGATATTATATTAATAATATGGTATGAATGAAAAAAGAAAATTCTGAGACAAGTAGAAGCATACTATGGTCATTTCATAATATCTGTTTCACATTTCATAATATCAAAATGAACTGAATCAAAGATATTCTTATCTCTAAAGAACAGAAGATGTTATGTCTCATGTGCTTTGCAGAACATTACATTGCGGAGCTGGGCATGGTGGCACATGCCTTTAATCCCAGCACTCAGGAGGCAGAGGCAGGTGGATCTCTGAGTTTAAGGTCAGCCTGGTCTACAGAGAGAGTTCCAGGACAGCCAGAGCTACATAAAGAAAACATGTCTCAAAAAAAAAATCACACACACACACACACACACACACACACACACACACACACACACTGCACTACAGTCAGGTCTGGTGGAACAGCACCGTTTCCCAGCTACTTAAAAGACTAAGGCAAGTGGATCATATGTTCAAGGCCATAGCCTGAATTCAAGGCAGCTTGAGCAACTTAGACCCAGACCCCATTTCAAAATACAAATTAAAAAGAGGATTAGGGATGTATCTCATGGTAGAGCACTTGCCTAGAATGCAGGGTTGGGGAGGGGGCAGGAACTGTGATCCTCCTTACTGTCTAGGGAATCACTGGGGCAGAGACAAATTAATGATACCATTGTAAAGGGATATGACAATTGTCAAATCAAAGGACTAATTAATATTATCTTTACCACAACTTTTAGGAGTGAAATAAAAATGATGTAGAGACTATCAGCTCTGTGAACCCTTCCTGAAGAAAGAGAGGAATGGAAGAGTTGCATACATCATCCCATAGAGTCCTGACTGGCTTGTGAGTAGTTTGAAGATAACAGGTTTGTCTCCTTGCTCTACAGCTTCCACATAAGATACTGTTGGAGGAGGAGTTAGGATGGGATCTATGGAGATCCTCGTAGATGTTACTAGATGATGAAGAGAAATCCAACAGTCTGCTGGAAGGATGGAGTTCTTACCACTTGGTTGTGGTTCTCATCCATTCCTTCACTTGACAAATACTTCTGAGTATTGATTACAGCAAAAGCCTCTCACCAGCCACAAGCATTTAAGGCAGAACAAGACAGATATGGCCCCTTCTCTCAGAAAACAAATGCCTCTTTTCTTGGATGTTGAATCTACTTATGGATTCCATTGTTGTTGGAGGTGTGAAACACTATTAAATAGATAATATGACTATTAAATGAAATGTCAGAATAAAGATAAGTCAACTTTCATTTTCCTAAAAATTGTCCACATTTTTATATAGACTCTTGATAGACATCAAGGTTTTATGTCACTAAGATAAATCATGTCTATTTCCTCCTAGATTCACAGGAAAGGTGCTTACTGAGCACCTATTGTGCTGATTCCTTGATTTATATCTCCCTTTTAGGCAATTTTAATAATTCATATATATATACATACATGATAGATTACATATAATACAATGTATATATTATATGTAATATTAAATATAATATATTATACACAATTGTATATAATATATAACATATTATATAACTTAACATATAATGTATATAATATATTACATACATAGTAGGCAAGCAAGCTGAAATTCAAAAAGATAACAGTCTTGACCCCAAATTTCCCAGTAGTGTCAGAATTCAAACACGTATCTGTGATGTAAATCCACTGTTACCTTTCTGTACTGTGACACTTTCCTTGGTCATCAGGTGATCAGACCATTGTTCACCACTGCCTGACTACAGCAGCTCCTGAATGAGCCAAGAGTTCCTAGACCCTCTTGTATGTAGACATGAGGTCTGGTCTGGTATTCACTACCCTGCTGTATGCATCTGCTCCCAGCCACACCACCTCTAGACTTTCACCACAGCAAAGAATCTTATTCTAGAATGAGACAAGACCAGGGTCGGGATAAGGGAAGTTACCACAACCTAAGCCCTGTACAGTGCTCTGCTACTGGAGAGAAAATGAACAGCCTCAACACCCGATGTGCAGAAACTAGACTGAGGGAGAAGATGAACATTTTTATGGACTAGTATGACTCATACAATTGTTTTCCTGTAACTCATCAAAGAGCAGGCCTGGGAGAAATGAGACCAGTTAGAATTTAGGAAAGACACTACAGTGCACTGAAGTTTCACTGTGACTACTGGACTGTATTTGATCTTTGCAGAGACGGAGGACAGTGCTTTAAAAACCAGGAAGAACATTGTAGCAGCCTTGATACAGCTTGGTGTCACAGAATGCATTTGCTCAGTGGCCACAAATGCACACATTGTCAACCAGTATTCTAGTATCCATTCATGCTTTCATTTCCCCGAGTTCCGGGTGAGGAAAACTTTCCCTTGAACACTAATATCTGTTCCGTGCTTTGTCTCCTTCTATGCCTTATTATAACCTATGTGGTTTCTTTTCAGAACCAGTATCCTCATTTTGACACTATGTGGAGGATGACGCTTAGCAATAAAGTAATAATACATTCAGATTGGAATCCTGGTGTCATGTGAAATGGAATTACATCTCTCACAATCGGACCTCTCCCCTCAGCATTCTGTTTAGTAATATTAATGAACAATGAGCTTAATGGCTATTCTTGCTTTCCTTTAGCAGGTCCACACCAAAGATCTTAACCAAGTACAGTGATGGCTGGATTTAAATTAAACCATCAACCAATATTTTTGAATGAATCATGGACAAGTGTGTACAAATAAGTCAGTGTAATATCGACATTATATTCCTATTCCTGTCCAGTTTGTTTATGGCTATGTTAGGGTGTGCCGCCTATTATAAATGAAGCAAGGAGCAAGGGAAAACTAAAATTGTACCTGATAAAATGGTTATGTCAGACATGTCAGCTCTGGCTAACTTCAGTCAGCATTCTGTTCTGTCTCAGTATTTCCACTTCACTGCTTTAGTGAGTGGGCTCAGAGCGGCTCCAGGACACAGGCCCTGGTGCCTATAACTCTGCTCGGTTGTTCTTATAATTAGGCTATGAAAGGGCTCTGCAGATGGAATGCTTCTTTATGAGGAGGCTTTAGAACAGAATTTGTTCAGACAGATCACATTATGTGAGTTACAACCCAGAGGCCAGCGGAGGGAGTTAAAAGATGGCTTGAGCACCCT